CGTGAAGCCTTCCATCTGTTAAAACAACCGAGGTTTTCGAAAATACCTGCTCGCATTCAGCTTGTTCAGGAGTAAGTCTTTTGACGTTTGCATCCGAGGGTAGTTCTTCCAGCACCCAAAATTTCTGACGGTGGCATCGATATTTTCCACATTTTCATCGACTTGACATAATGTGCTACTTACTTGCCCACTTGAGCTTTGACTTGAGGCATATTTGCCCGATATTTTCCAGCCTAACAATGTTTTATGCAGCGTTGACTGCCTTGGGCTGGTTTTGCTCTGACTAACCGATAACAGATGAAAGAACGTTCCAGCTCCCAATAATATGTCGATTTTTTGACACTTGAAAAAGTTTGGGTCAGCCAGTTCGATATTTTGTGGGATTTTCTAGCCATTTGTGTTCACTGTGTGATCTGGGTGATTGGCTGATATCGAACGCATTACCCAAAAATCTGCCGAAAAGTCAAAGTAATTGATCCTCGAATTTACAAAGGCATTTAATTTGCCTTGAACCCTTTTATTCGAATTGCCAATTCCAATTACATTCAGAGTCGACTTCTCTCTTCGACTTCGCAATTTTTGTGCCAACTCCTCGGTCATAAAATTGACTTGGGATCCAGAGTCAAGCAGAGCACGACCTGGCACATAACTACCGCAACAACATTTTACGTTAACTACGGCTGTAGTAAGCATGACGCGATCTGGCGCACTGCTGGTATGCATCGCCTGTGTAGTCGAAGGTTGACGTTCAGTCTCAAAGGAGATCGGATATTGGTGCAACATAGTATGGTGTGATCGATTACACACACGACTGCGATCTGCTTTGCACTTTGAGACGGTAAGTCCCTTGCGCAAGCAATTTATGCACAAGGAAACCGATTTCGCGAATTCAAATCTTTTAAGAGCAGTAATCGCTTTGAATTTTGGGCAAGCTGTTAGGCAATGGTCCTTTGAGCTACAGTGAAGGCAAGTTGGCTGTTTGGCATTCGTCGCGATAAATGATGCCTTTGAGGTTTCCAGCGGTTGATTTTTTCCCTTCTGTCGAATGTCTGCAATGGAGGACCGTGGCAGGGGTGAGGAAGCTTCTTCAGCAGACAGGTGCTGATATCTCTTATTGAGCAAAGCTTCACACTCAGTCCAAAGCGGCAATTTATCATAGTCATTGCTCCTCCCATTTTGACCGAGTAGTGGGTTCAACCTTCGACATGACTATGTGAATTAACATCGCATTTGAAATAGGTTTATCATCACCCAGAGACAAAAGCGAGTCAAACACCGCGGACACTGTATCGATTATCGATCGCAAGGATGGCGCAGAAGGTTTCTGAATTTTGGTGAGATCAAAGAGCCATTAAGACATTTATTGTCATATACTCTTTTCAAACTAGCCAGCGCCTTTGGATAGTTCTCTTCCGCCATTTGGAAGGACTTCACTGTGCCCAATGCTTCACCGGATAAACACGGCACTAAATGATTAAATTTTTCGATATCCGGAATTGTAGGATAGTTGTGCACTAAACTCTCAAACAAACTCATAAAATTCTTAAATTCAGAATATTCCCCTTTGAATTTGGGTAGCGACATCTTAGGGAGTCGCGATCTGTGGGGTGCAATAAACGACAGTTCGGCAACAGAAGATTAATATTTTGCAAGAATGGATTTAATCATGGACTTTGTTTCAACAACTATGTCCCCCAATTCTCCACGGGCCATATCTTCCTCATCAATTTCTTCTATTCTTGATTGACACGTCATTAGCTTTTCGCTGTGTGAATTTAGAATGTCAAGTCTACATTCTAATTCGAAAGGATCTCACGACATGGTTTTTTCAATAAGGCCCGTTTTTATACGTACTATATTCCTTTTCAGGACTGACCGTTGCTTTTTAAAGACCTTCAATTCCTCTACGTGGCTCATTTTCAAATCGAGTTACGATGTTTTGGTTGCAAACAGAAATATAACTTGTTGCCTTTATGCACAGTAACTTTGTGTTCGAAAAATAGTTCTGGAAATTTTTTAGGCAACGAAAACGATAGAAAATAGCTAAAACTTCACCAGAACCAACGAAAAGCGAGATCGAAAACCAACTGCCGTAAAGATGCCTTCTGACATGCCTTGGCGAGGGCTCATCTGCAAGCAGGTGCCTGTTCGGATGTGTACGTCTGTGGCTCCCAACCAGAAACTGCTTGCAGAGCATTGTGTTATGCTCCTTAAAAGGGAGCATTTTCACCTCGTGGTGCAGGTGGTGTTGCGGCGACATCAGAAGGCATCCAGTCGCTGTCCTAATGCATTGTTTTGTGTCGTCCGTAGCTTCATCCACTGTGTCCTACTAGTCCCCGGCGACCACACTGGTGCTGCGTAATTTAAAACCGGCCGTCCTATTGCCTTGTATGCTGCCAGCAACGTTTCTTTGTCTTTGCCCCCAAGTACTGCCGGCTAGCGACTTGAGGACCTTGTTACGGCTTTGTACTCCGTTGACAATTTTGGTTGTATGCGCCGAGAAGGAGAGCAGACTATCGAAGGTTACTCCGAGTATCTTCGAGTTGATCACCGTCGGATTGGTGTATCATCGACGTGAATTCCCAGCTGTAGCCTGACCTCCCTCGTCGAGGTGGTAAAAAGTGTGGCTGAGAATTTTGTAGGGGAGAGGGTTAGGCTCCGTGCAGTAATTAAGCGAGAAAGCTCGACGAGGTAACCGTTTACTTTCGAGCACAAGTCTGATGACCATTCCCATTCCCAGACGCCATGATCGAACAATCGTCAGCATAATAGACTATCGAGACTCCCTCTGGTGGTTGAGGGAGCATTGATAAGTAAAAGTTAAACAGTGATGGGGAAAGGACAACCCCCTGTTTTATTTACCTAGGTTTGCTCGATTTGTCTCTACAAGTTACTGACGAGAGACGACCACTCAAATAATTCGCCGACCACCGTTTGAGTCCCCGTTGGAGAGTGGAGGCCTCTATGTCTTCTAGTAGCGTTGATTGGCTGACAGTGTCGAATGCCTTATGACAGGTCCAGCTCTACTAGAATGATTCTCTCACAGGGGCGGTTTCGGTTAAGGCCACGAGTTATTTGGGTATTTATGGCGTTAAGTGCTGTTGTTGTGCTGTGCACTTTACGGAATCCATACTGATGCTTCGCTGGGGTCAGGTGGTTCGTAAAATACGGAAGTGGCAAGGCCTCTAGTGCCTTCGCTACCGGGGAAAGGAGGGTTATCGGACGACAAGACGCTCTTTTGTTGGCTGGTTTCCCGGTTTGAGCAGTGGACCACTCTCCCCATCTTCCAGATGTCTGTAATGACGAGAGTGGCCATTGACAGATTGAGGACCTTCGTTAGGTACGCTACTCCCGCAGGATCCACATTTTTTACCATCAACATGCATATTCCGTCGGGTCCAATGGCTTTGGAGGATTTCGCCTTCCCGATGGCTACCCTTACCACACCGCTGGTGAAAACAAGAGGTGCACTAGGTTTTGGCAGTTTCTGCAGCCTTCTGATCACTCGACGTTTGGCTTTATCCACCGGAGGATGCAGAATGAACTGCCGGCTAAAATAGCTCGCGCATCGCTCCGGGTCCAACGAAGCGTGGTCACCAAAGTCAATTTCAACTCTGTCGTCATGCTTCGTCGGATTGGACAATGACCTCACGGTTGACCAAAGCTTACTCACGCCAGAGGCGAAGTTGCAGGTCTTCAGATGCACTTCCCATTTCTTCCGCTTATGTACGTTCACAGGTTGCCTAATCTCCGGGTTGATATCCCTGATACGGGGATTTCCGGGATCGGCCTGACGAAGGTTGTCGCGCTCATCGGCTAGGACAGCCGCTTCAGCAGGAAAATTCGGACGGGAGTCCGAGATGCATCCCGCTGGAAAGAAGCGGGCTGCAGCAGCAGTGACAACCCTGCTGAATTTACGCTCACATAAGTGAACGTCGGTTGGTGTGGGTAGTGCAGCGAAGGCGCTTTCAGTAACATCTGCGAAGCCTTTCCAATCAGCTTTAGAAAAGTTAACATAGGTCCGGTGATCCGCGGAAGCAAAGTCGGCTGGTTTATCAATCGAGATGATTATTGGCAGATGGTCTGATGCTAGTCAGCATAGGTCGCCATGATACGCTGCTTATCAGACCAGCACTGACTATTGTTAAGTCTGGCGAACTGCAGCAGCTGCCCATAATCCTGGTGGGTGCGTCGTGGTTCCTTGTGCAAAATGTCGAATCGTCTATCTGCTCAGCCAATTGTGTTCCCCTACGATCGTTTGACAGGCTTGAATGCCAAAGATCGTAGTGCGCATTGAAATCGCCAACTACCATACGGTTTCCACCTCTGAAGAGCGCACCAATTCCAGGGTGATATCCTGCCGGGCAACTGCTGCCAGGGGTATATATACGTTAAATATTTCGAGCTCGACATCGCCTGAGCGGATAGCAATGCCCTGACATTCTAGGATGGTATCCATGCGGTCGATGTCTGCTTCTATAAGAACTGCAACTTCGTCTCTTGGAACGCAGCTATTAATATTCCGTGCCGATCCATGAAGACTGTTATCTCATCGATCTTGCTCTGAAGTCCGTTACAGTTAAATTGTAAAATCTTCGTGTGCCTAGAGAGACTTATTGGAATGTGGAGTGTTAGTGACGTGTGTTGCCGGGCCGCCACATGCTGTGGTTGCTGCTGCTGAGGCTATTGCCCTGTGGTATTAGCGGGCGGCGTCGCAGTTGGGGATTGCGACCGAGCAGCTCAGCATGGGCCCTCATAGTCCCTCGTCTAATCTCGCGTGGTGCGCACTCTTGAGCATGTCCTATAGTGACACCAGCCAAGGCAAGTGTTGCACTTGACTGATGTCACATTACGGAATATCCTGGACTGACACACCGTGCAGATTGTCGGAGGAACTAGGAGTTGTTGGTGGTGGCGTGTGGGTGGTGGTGCAGTTGTATCAGTGGTGTGGTCTGTTGTGTCAGTGGTATTGTCTATTGTATTGTGTTGTGGTGCGGTTGTGTTTGTGTTGAGTTGCTCAAGCGGACTCTGTTGTGCCGTGGAGGCCGCTCGATTAGCGGAGCAAGGGGCCACGTACGCGGGGGTCCACTGCCTATAAGTCGTGAGGCCTGAACAAACTCGGAGATGGCTCCACCCATTGCACGTGTTGCATCTGACGGAGGTGGAGTTGTGGTGAAATCGTCTCTAGCACACGCAACAGGTATATGTTTCTGGTCCAGGGTTTGACTCATTGCCAGCCCTGAGCAGAGGTATGCGAAGAAGAAGTAGCCCTATGGAAGTACAACTTTTGAGGGATTTCGCCAACCTAAACGGGGTTAGATCGCCGAAACAACCCTTTGTTGACGATGTTTACTTATACAAACTGAAACTTTATGATAAAGTATTCAAATTTTATTTTAAAGCTACCTGGAAATTCAAAAACCGATTTGAAAATTTTTTAAAAGATTAGCAAATTTACTCACTATTCAGTTAAAAAGGAATAAATAACTATAGACTCATCATTTTTTAAATGAAAATTTATTGTGGAAAAGCAACAATAATTTGAA